TGATGTTACATGGACTATTTTACAGATCTCCTTGCTACGTTTCTGTGCCTTGATCATGTAAGGATCCTTGCTGTCTATGGGAGGGCCAGAGAGCTCTCAGATTTAATCAAAAATATCTTCATTTGTGTTCTGTTTGTGTTTTTTGGGTGAACTATCCCTTTAACTATAACTTTTGCCTCAATAAACTCCTAATTTGCTGTTTAATAATAGTTAGTAAGGTAGTTGTTAAGTTTAGGTATTGGGTAGAATATGGTCATGCAGAATATGTGCTTATAAATATTAACGAAACCGACAATGTTAATAATATGCATGCTAATAAACAACTAATTAATAGTGAGAATTGGTCCCTATACTAAACTGTAATAAATTACTGTAATTGTTATCAAATATATGCACTTTTGTTGAGCACTATTTATCTTATCATTTGAACAGATTTATGTACGCTTAATATCACTAATAAACTTGCACTGCATTTGCAACGGACCGTTGTCGCATCACATCAGACCGTGTTGCAACAGCTAAAGGCCTTCTACACTGGGCGTGTCAAAGCGAACTTTCCAAATCCATTCGTCCTGTTGTCAGAAGTAGCGTGTAGAGTATGACAGAAATAGAACATGGGAATCTGTTTATTGTTGCAACTAGTTTACTGCCATGATCCTTCCGCAATAGAGGATAAATATCACTGATCATAACGGTGTCTATCAACGTGATCTCACAGGAAAACAGAAATATTTTACGAGGTGATTTCATATGAATTTGTATGATAGAAAAAAGTAAGCATTAAGGTCCATCCCTAACCATAACATGAGATATTTTGACACTGGGGTTTTAGCAGATTGTATGAAAACCTAATGAGATCGTACAAATTAGTCCGAATTAGCTTTGTTTCTTTGTAATCCGTCCGAATTAGTTTCGCATTTGATGCAATTTAAACAGTGCAGGACATCCCACGTAGACTGGATATAACTTCAAAACTTTGTGCTGAATGGCCACATTTAGATAGATATATATGAGGCCTGAATGTTTTTTTTGTTTTTTTTTTTAATTAATATTATTATCGTGTATATTCCAGAAAAAAAATATGCAGCCACTCAAATAAATCTAAATCTTTTTTTAAATGGTTTATTTGAATCTGAGTGAAGATATTCGCTTTAACAGTGTATTTTTGAAATCCATTCATGCCACTCTGTCAAGTGAAGCACAGCTGAAGTAAATGATTTCTGGCAATGCTTCTCGAAAAAGACTGATCTCTGAATCTACAGACAGTGTATTTTATCGTGTCCGCTCTAAGTTTAGATGTAGTATGTTTTAAAAGAGGTGATGAGGTGCATCTCATGGGAACCTTGAGTTGAAAAGGCAACAAATGTGAACCGATATTATGAAAATTTTCATTCTGTGGATTACAGGGAAGCTTGTAATGCTATAATAATCAGACCTCTGGATCTGCTTGACCGTGTAAACAGATGCCTTTAGTGTCTTGGTCTATCAGATGGCATTTTATTCTAGATTGAAGTAAGCGCAATTTTGGGCAATACTATTCTTTTAAAATTATGAATAAACTGTACTTAAGAAAGATAAACCATTAGTAGAAGAGATTTTGAGACTTTGTTTGTTTGTTTGCAGCCGTTTTATATGCTAAATTTGGTTTTAAATCCTCTCTGCTGCAGGATTGCATAATTATAGGACTGAGAAATTGGACCCAGTGCTGTGTTTTGGGTGTCAGCTAAAAATGCTCCTACATGATACCCTGAAGTCTAACAAGGGATTGCTCCAGACAATTTTTTTTCAGATTTCTGGTTGCTGTCTGAGCACAATGCATGTGCATTGGCCCCAGGAGACTGAGAGGGACTCACACAAGGATAGGCTGTCATGGCGTCTCTCAGGTGTAATTGAAAGTGTTGCATTATGTGTGGGTTTCTCCTGGCCCAAAGTGTTCAGAGTGCATCCATCACTGTTTATTGTGAGAACTCTGCTGTCAGTCACTAAAAAAAGGAACTGCAGGTATGAAGTGATGATGCAGCTCCTTTGTCCTCCAGCTTGTGGAAGCAGATTGTTGTGGTTGCATCAGTATGGACTGGAGAGTAATTGGACGTCACACAGAGCAAGCATTTTGACTATCAGCATGAAATCTGGTCCACAGCATATTCTAATCTGATGTTGCGAAGAAAACAAACACAGTCTGTGTGCTGTTGAGGGAAAAGTAATGTGATATCACAATAATAATTTGTCTTTTTCATCTTTTATTTGCTTTATATCTGTGATAAATAATCTTTGCTTAGGTAAGCACCACCTTTGTGAAAAAGACTGCATTGAATGTGCACTTGTAGTGTACTTCAAATCTTAAAACTGTATTTTTTTTAAACGGCACTTGCAGAAAATGTAGTATTACTGAAATAAATCCCACTTAAGTATATATTTAAAGACAGTTCTCTTTCGTGACTGTTTCTTAACACACTTAAGTAGACTTGAAAGGTGAACTTTGTAATAATGTCAAATTTTTTTTTAAGTTTTATTTTAAAGTACATTTTAATCATTGTTTTAATAATCTCTTTGTCATGCTTTAAAGTACACTTCTTTTGATGTGTTGACTAACATACTAAAGCACATGTCAAGTACTTGATTATAATTTTACCTCTAGTGCGTCATTCAAAGTTCTTAATTTAAATGTACTAAATTGTAAGTTTACTACAAATGTGTAATTACAAATATATTTAAATACATGACATACGAGTTTCAATAGAAATTACATTAAAGTATATTTAAATTTACTATAAATGCTTGTCAGTACATTCTGCAGTGCACTTTAACTATTTATTAAGTGAGTCAAAGAAATCCCTCTAAAGCTCAGCTGATTGCATTTAATAAATTTAAAACTGTAATGCATACAATTAAATGTCAGAAAATATATAAACATAAGTATATTATATCTTTAATAAGCACTCTTTTTAAGTATGATGGTGTACTTCTTTTGTACAAGGGTTTTACTGTTGCTCCTACATTGTTTTAGTGATTTTAATAAACCTCTAACAGTAAATATTAGTCTAAATGTTGGCGAGTAACTCATCCTGCACCATTTTTCCCAATCAGTTGGACTTGCTTACAATAAAATTGGCCCAAAAATAAAAATCACATTGACTAACATTGAAGGAGGGTCCCGAAGCATATCTTGAGACCAGAATATTATAGATCTTTTGGGGTGGGCTTTTTTTTCTTTTTTACTAGGGATGCATCGATCCGATACTCCGTATCGGCTCCGATACTGGCATTTTCTGGCATTTTTCAGACGAGACTGATCCAAATCTGATATTGTGCGTATACTATTGTGTTATGGTTAAGCCCCACGAAAGCAACGTTTTCGTGCACTATATTTCAAGTGTTCTGAAGCCGTTCCACAGTTTAATTTGAGGTACAGATGAATATTTAAAGGGGTCATATGATGCGATTTTAAATTTTTCCTTTCTCTTTGGAGTGTTACAAGCTCTTGGTGCATAAAGAAGATCTGTAAAGTTGCAAAGACTTTCAAAATCCAAAAAGTCTCAAATCCAAAGAGATATTCTTTATAAAAGTTCAGAGTCAGCCACACCTACCTAAAACGGCTCGTTCTAACACGCCCCCACATATCTACATCACTATGTGGGAAGATTTGCATAATGCAGCCCAAATGTTCACGCAAAGAAAGAAGGCGTAACTTTTATTCTCGCTGTAGTATTGTTGCTGCCGCCGCCGCCATGTCGTGAAGACACTGTGTGATTCGTTGTGAAAGCGTAAATACTTTGTTTGGTCTTCCAAAAGAGGACACGACTACAAATCAGTGGTTAAGTTGTATTTACAACACTGTTCCAGAACAGTTCAACCCAAATATTCAGATGTGTGCAGCACATTTTATGGAGGACTGTTTCCTGATCCTGGGAGAGTAGACTACAATGCCGGCTGTTCTGACTCACAAACTGTAAGAACGTTTTTCATATTTAAAGAATTTGCCACTGACGATTCAAACGTGAGTTTTGAGCAGTGTAGAGTAGCGCTTGTTGTTTGTTGTTTCTCCGATCACAAATGCAGACATGGTTTTATGTTTACGTGGCGCGATGCAACGCAACGTGTAAAAAGACAGTGTAAGTCATTATAATCAGTAATTATGTCCTCACTGGATGCAACAAATGCCTCGTTTATAATGGGTTTGAATGTTTTTGTCTCGTCGCTCCGGCCGGGACAGGGCATCACAGTATGGTAAGGGGCGTAACATTTCCGTCACACGCTTGAGGAATTCGGCCAATCACAACACACTGGATAGCTGACCAATCAGAGCACACCTCGCTTTTCAGACCGATGAGCTTTGTAAAAATCCATGCGTTTCAGAAAGGCGGGGCATAGAGGAGAAACAATAATGTACAGTATGTGGAAAATGTCTTTTTAACCTTAAACCGCATAAACACATTTCATTACACCAAATACACAAAATAATGTTCTTTTTAGCAGCATCATATGACCCCTTTAAGTCAAGTTCACATAAACTCTTCTCTCCTCTGCGGCTGTCAGTCATCCTCTATTCAGCGTTCAAACTGTGTCACGTTCGGTTTCAACAGTCAAAATGATGAATCTCTCTCCAAGAGCGCACGATAACTGAGATTTAAAATGGTTAAAAGAACAGGCTCAATCAAATATTGCACAGATTTAATATTCAATTATGTGACGATCAGGTCAACACACAGAAGTATAGAAATTCTACATTGATGTAAAAAAACTGCGCTGGTATCGGATTGGATTGATATCGGCCGATACTCAGAATTTTCTGGATCGGATCGGTTCTGAAAAAATGGTATCGTTGCATCCCTATTCTTTTACTTGGATCTACAACACCTTAAAAACAGCATGACCGTGCCTTGGCAAACCTACAAACCATTTCACACACAACATAGCACAGACAAGCACATATAAGAATCTAGTTTCTTTTATGTTTTCATCTTCACCGAAACTGTGTCTTTCTCTCTCTCTTTCCACAGTTGCGTAGGCTTCCTGAAGACCTGGCTTCCTTTCTGCATCTTGACCAGTGTGATCCTGGCTGTAACTCTGTCTCTAAACCTGCGATGACCCCACGGGGTCACACTCAGGCCAACGGGCTCGCCGCCCATCGGAGACCCGTCACTCCAGCTCCAGCGGGACTCCACTGAATGTCAACTTGAAGTCCAGCTCTTCTGAGCGCAACATCAAACATCAAACGCTAGACCTCTTTGTCGTAGGGTAGAGACAGCAAATACACCATGGCTTCAACGTCTTGTGGTGATGTACGATACGCTATTCTCAAAACCTGTCTTCCAAAGGCATGACTTTGGTGTCTCTTGAGGGTTATGGTGCTCTTTTATCGTTTGGTTAGACTTTGATCTCCAAACTATAACTGCTGTTTAGGAAATATAACACTATCACGTATATATAGTCTTATATTTTAAATATAACTTGAATATGAATTTCTAAATATGCTATGTTCTTTCTGCGAACCAATGCATTGTATATTAAGATACTCTGGAAGATGGATTTCCTTTTAAAATTCTTACTATGAATACGAAAGCTTATTTAAAAGAACACTTTGAATATTTAATTTCATTTAGGAGTACCCTTTTAGTCATTTTATTGGCAAGGCTAACCATTAACATAAATGTAGCTTGGCATGCTTTAAAGTGTAATTGTTTTTATACAAAAATCTAATTGCATATGGAGATTAGCATTCAAAAATGGCTAGTTAATGAATAAGCAAATCTGGTTTGCATTATGTATTGAAAAGCATTCTTTGCACTGCCTGGCCAGCTGTTATTATATTGCATAATTTATTGTTATTGCATTCATTTACTATTGTTATGTTGCATAAACCATTATGAAATTGCATTCTCAAGTAGAATGTGATGCATTTAAAAGTGTAAAATGTATGCTAGGACTTATTTTTATCCATTGGGAATTGATTGAATCAGAAAAAAGCATGCATTACTTCGCAGAACAGACCAGACATGAATGCGAAGGCTTGAAATTTAAGTGACCTTGGTGAATTTAGCCGAAAAGGACAGTTTTTTAGTTTTCTAACATGCACTAATAAATCCTGCTCCGCAAGAGCAGGAATGAAGAAAGTAAATGATGCCTTTAATATATCTTTGTTGTCCTGAGGAACACTTGATTCACATTGCAGGGGTTTTGGATGTTCTGTTTGAAAGCTCTACTCTTTCAATCATGAACTATTAAATTATATATTTAATGCTTCCATTGTTTGTTTGTTATGTTGACTATTGATTTGGTATAATGGCACAATATGCCTAATCTAACAATCATATCACATATAGATGAGAACATGATTTATGTTCCATTATAAGGTCCAGGGTTTGAATAATGCTCATCAAAATGAAGCAGGAACGCTGAAATCTGTCAGGCACACATCCAGGTCATTATTTCACCCCAAAATCAAAAAGAAAAATGGCTAAAGACAATTAAGCCCATTTTATTATCTTTTGCATGTGATATTATTTCATGGCAATTAAGCACATTTCCTACTGTATGAAGTTATTAATTATATTAATATATGATTACATTAATCGTATTTATACATCACTGTAGTATTTGTAGCACTGCTTTATTATTTTTAATGCAGTATTTTTATGGTAACAACAGTTAAAGCTGTATTAAAGTAAGAAAAATGTAATTGCCATGGAATTTTTGCATGCAAAATATATTTTTATTTGCTTCTGATTTGGGTTGTGAATGTGGCCTGTTTTTGTGAGATTCACTTGTACATCTCAATTGCTTAATTGGTGTAGAATTAGAAAGAAAATTGAACCTGGGGTCAAAATGGGCTCTCAAAAACATTACCGTATTTTTATTGCTTGTAAAACTAATGTTTTCGTTCTCGTGAAAATCTGAATGATCCTAATCACATGCTGTATTTTATTTCATTTTTAAACGGAGTATATTTTAGTTTGCTACTGATTTTGGGTGCAAGTGTTTTACTCGTTCGGTGTATAAGCAGAAAGAAAAACTGGGTGAAATCTAACCTTCATTACTGTAATCCAGAGCACAGAAATCCTGTTTGCTTTTCTCAACTCTATTCATGAACCGAGCGCTTCAAACACCGATCGAATCCTGCCGTGATCCTAAACTAGGATCTGGACACCAAACCAGTTTCCATGACTCCTGTGTGATCAAATCCCCTCTTTGTTTCATGTCAAAGACAACAATCACTCAACTCCCCTCTTACCTATTGCTCTCTTCTCACATTCTTCCTTTTCATTCCTCTTTTCACACTCTCTCTGTCTTTAGAAGTATTGCCAAGAGCAGCAGGTAGTCGAGTGTGTTTTGTGTCGGTGGAGTGTGTGTGTGTGTGTGTGTGTGTGTGTGTGAGAGAGCGAGGAGTCTGGCCCCTGCTGGCCCCGGCTAGAGCTGATCACATTAGAGAGCCTGTGTGAAGTGTGATGTTCTTACTGATGGCTTTCCTGTCTTCAAAGATGTGAACTAGTGGATCAGAAGCACATTTGACTGTTTAGGTCGTCACAGCAGCCCAGCGGTTCCCATTTCCTCTCTGTAATCTCTAAAAGCTCATGGCATTCCTCTGCTTTTTACTTTTAGAGAACATTCATTCATTCATTCATTCACTGAGGTCTTTCTGTGGTTACAATATGTTAAATGTTAACATTCACATGCCACCTTACAAAAATAGTGTGCAAAATAAGGCCCGAAAAAATGTGTAAAAGTTTTTATTTATTTGTTTTTGTTTTGTTTTGTGTGTGTGTGTGTTACCAGATTTTAGTCCAGGTCTACAAGAGAGCGAGGAGTCTGGCCCCTGCTGGCCCCGGCTAGAGCTGATCACATTAGAGAGCCTGTGTGAAGTGTGATGTTCTTACTGACGGCTTTCCTGTCTTCAAAGATGTGAACTAGTGGATCAGAAGCACATTTGACTGTTTAGGTCGTCACAGCAGCCCAGCGGTTCCCATTTCCTCTCTGTAATCTCTAAAAGCTCATGGCATTCCTCTGCTTTTTACTTTTAGAGAACATTCATTCATTCATTCATTCACTGAGGTCTTTCTGTGGTTACAATATGTTAAATGTTAACATTCACATGCCACCTTACAAAAATAGTGTGCAAAATAAGGCCCGAAAAAATGTGTAAAAGTTTTTATTTATTTGTTTTTGTTTTGTTTTGTGTGTGTGTGTGTTACCAGATTTTAGTCCAGGTCTACATGTTTACAAGCTTTAATTTGTGTGATGATTTTAAAAAAACAAACAAAATAAACATTTGTTTGCCTGCTAAAAGTTAATTGATAATTGTTGTTTGTTTGCTAATTAATAGCATTTTAAATGAAGTGAAATGAAAAGATTGTTTTGTTTTGTTTTGCCAGATTTTAGTCCAGGTCTACATGTTTACAAGCTTTAATTTGTGTGATGATTAAAAAAAAAAAAAAAAAAAAACCTTTGTTTGCCTGCTAATAGTTAATTGCTAATAATTGTTGTTTGTTTGCTAATTAATAGCATTTTAAATGAAGTGAAATTAAAAGATTATAATTTGTAACAGGCTTGCAAATTTGGCTAGCCAATTCTCATGACATAGAAAATGAATATAGTTTCATTGTAGTTTTTAAATTTTTTTTATTGTAGTTTTCAATATTTTGAGTATATCTTATAAAATCCTGGAAATAAAACTATAACTAACAGGGTTGCAAACTGAGTTTGACAAATGTAGTCAACACTAAATTATTTGTAAATATTAAGGAAATGAAATGAAATTATTTAATTTTTTTATGTTTTAAAATTAATTGTATTTTATTTTTGCCACCATGTTAACGATTTTCTTTTCTCTTCTTTCTTTTTATGAGTATTTCTCATAAAAATATCAAACAAATTCATAACTAACAGAGTTGAAGTTTGATGAAAGTAGTCAACACTAAATTATTTGTAAAAACTGAGGGCATGAAGTGAATTGACTGGTTTTCTAAATTACGTTTGGTCAGTTGAAAGTAACATCTCACTTCTTGGAATGGAGAAATCGTGATAACAGGGTTGTGACAAAAATGTAAGACATCACAAAAAATATTTTAAATTGTTTTGAACTTAATGAACATCAAAAAGTAAAGTTTTTTTCATCTAATGTTATTTTTGTTAGATAATACTTTTCACTACAAAATTGAATTTGTGCTTTTAAAAATCCCATCGGCTACCCTCTGGAAAGTGGCACTTAATTGGTTGATTGCTTTTTGCCATTAGAACAGTTTTATTAGCAGATTTCGTATTTCGGTTTCTGCCTGTTTGCTAATTCAAAACTGGCCTGTGTGTAAAAATTAGCTGCAAATGTTTTCTTTACATGCACTGCTGTTAAGCTTGTCATTACATGAATTTTGCACAACTACAAGCAAGCTGACTTTTAATAATAATTAAATTGTCACCTCATACCTCCTGCAGCTGCATTAGCTGTGTGTGTGTCTGTCTGTCTGTCTGTCTGTCTGTCTCTGTGTGAGTGTGTGTGTGTGTGTGTCTGTATATTTATTTTGTATATGTAAAGATACACACATACAGTATAGATTTTGAAAATATAATACATGTATTTACGTGTTTATATTTATATTCATATAATTTATATTATATATAAATATATTTAATATATAAATATAACATTTTTCTTAAATATATACGTGCACGTGGATGTATTTATATAGCTATACATAATAAATATACACAGTACAGACAAATATATTGAAATACAAAATAAACTTTTATTTTGGATGCGATTAATCACGATTAATCGTTTGCCAACACTTATATATATATATATATATACAGTATATGTATGTGTGTTTTTTATTTTTTTTTTTACTGCTGCCCTCTTTCAATGTTTACTGAGGCCCCCTAGTGGGCCCCACCCCCTAACTAAGAGCCACTGCTCTAGTGTAGCATCAAGAGCTTTATCGATCTCCAAAGAACCACATAAAAGCAACAGTAGAACAACCATATTTAAGTGCTTCGACACCTTGAGCTACAGTACTGGAGCAGGAGAGATCATCGTAATCTTTTGATGAGCTTTAATCGCTATTAATTAAGCCCATTAATCAGAGTGATGAGGGCTGGTGTCGGTCTGTACGGAGAGGTGCGAGTCAAAGCTCCTCCCTGCAGATTGCTGAGTGTGATTCAGTCGCATTGTTTGAGAGCAGCGGATCAAACGCCCCACACAGAGAACCTCCTTTTCTCATGGAAATAAAGTGTCTGCCTCTCATTCACACATGAGCTTCTGTAATGCAAAGAAGTCGAGCACGCAGGGAGACTCAACATCACTGAGAGAGGTTACGGGCGAGGACTCTTGGAGAGCCACTCTGGAGAAGCGGACGCACAGCCGCTGAACGAGGGCATTTATTGAGTCAGATTGATGCGGTTTTGCTGATAGCTGACCATGCTCGCCTCTGCGCGGAGCGCGGTTGTGCTGGGGCTGCTGTGCGCTGCGCTCTCCGCCGGCGCGTCGCTGTGTCCCGCCGGCTGCGAGTGCTCAGAAGCCGCGCTCACGGTCAAATGCGTCTCCAAAGATCTGCGGGACGTACCGAGCGGC